AAAAAAAAAAAAAAAAAAAAAAAGGGGAAGAAGAAGAAGAAATATTGTGGTCTGAAGTGCCTCACACTGCACAATATAAGTCAAGACTGAGCTCATGGTTGCCACTTGCAAAGCAACTGTACGACCTCCTCTGCAAAAGAGGCAACCAATTTTCCATTTCAATTTCCATACCCACAAATTCTAGGCCCTTCAAATCCTATCCATCTCCTCTCCACTTGTCCCCAGATAATTTCCTTCCTTCCGCTATATATTATTTGCTACCCTGCAGTAGCTTCACCCCCAAACCCCCACTTCTCCCCCAGATAAAATCTCTCTCCAGTCAGAAATATGGCATCCATGGCTACCACCTTCTCCTCTGCTCTCCCATCTACCAAACCCTTCAAGGGTTCTTTCTCTGATTCATCCTTCCATGGAGTACCCTTGACTTCCCCTGCCCCCCATTACAGGGCAAAGCCTATTCCTTGTGGTGCATCGGTTTCGATGTCCGCCACCACCCAGTCGTACGATCTCAATAACTTCAGGTTCGACCCCATCAGAGAATCCATCGTCTCCCGTGAGATGACGCGGAGGTACATGATGGACATGATCACCTACGCTGATACTGACGTGGTGGTGGTCGGTGCTGGTTCCGCTGGGCTCTCCTGCGCCTATGAGCTCAGCAAGAACCCATCTGTACAAGTCGCCATCATCGAGCAATCGGTTAGCCCCGGCGGTGGCGCGTGGCTCGGTGGCCAGCTCTTCTCTTCCATGGTAACATTAAAAATATGAACTTGTTTGTTTGTTTGTTTGTTTAGACACTGTTTGGCTGAAGCTTTGTCGTCTTTTTAAAGAAAAGAAAGCATCTTTTATGATTTTTATTCCTTTGTGGTGGACCCGGAAATCTGCCTACATATCTTGAATAGATATACTAATTGACAAAAATAATAAAAAAGTATTTAATTTTATCATTATTTTTTTTATGTAAATTTTATCATTATTTAAATGTACTTATTTTACTCCAAATTTTTGTAGTGGATTTTTCTTTTGGATTCTGTTCGCTATATCTGATTTCCAGCTCCTTTTGGCATCTTTATCACTAATCAATTGAAAAATCCTGGTCTTAATTTTTTTTTATCTTTGATAAAAATATATAAAAAAAAAGTTTAACAAAAAAAACTGAGAAAATATGACTAATTGTTAATTCAGAAAAGAAAAGTTTCATAGCTGGAAAATAGAAGAAAAATGGAAAAGAAGAAGCTTCTTTTCTTTCTTTCTTTTTTTATTTTTTTTTATTTTTTTATGTCATATATATAGAGGTTGAATGGTAGTCTATATTAGACATGAAACTGGAACTCTAGAACTTGGAAACATGTAGGCTGTTGTCATTTATTTTACTTGATGTGTGTATATTAACATTGGTGTATATATGTGTCCAGGTAGTGCGCAAACCAGCTCATCTCTTCCTTGATGAACTTGGTATCGAATATGATGAGCAAGACAACTATGTTGTGATCAAGCATGCTGCCCTTTTCACATCCACCATCATGAGCAAGCTGCTTGCCCGCCCCAACGTTAAGCTGTTCAATGCTGTGGCAGCAGAGGACTTGATTGTGAAGGGAGGGAGAGTTGGCGGGGTTGTGACAAACTGGGCTCTGGTGTCCATGAACCATGACACACAGTCCTGTATGGATCCCAATGTGATGGAGGCCAAGGTTGTAGTCAGCTCCTGTGGGCATGATGGACCATTTGGAGCCACTGGAGTCAAGAGGTTGAAGAGCATTGGGATGATTGATAGTGTGCCGGGGATGAAGGCATTGGACATGAATACAGCTGAGGATGCTATTGTTAGGCTTACTAGGGAGATTGTGCCTGGGATGATTGTAACTGGCATGGAAGTTGCAGAGATTGATGGAGCCCCACGAATGGTAAATTTCTGCATTCTATTGATTTTCTGGAATCAAATTTCTTAGGGAGTAAACTATATGCTTCAAATTTGACCTTTAATTTCCAATTTCTATGACTTGGAATTGACTATATAAGTAAGTTGGTTATATTATGCAGGGACCAACATTTGGAGCAATGATGATCTCAGGGCAGAAGGCAGCTCACCTGGCTCTAAAAGCATTAGGATTGCCAAATGCCATTGACGGACAAAGCATTGGAAGCATCCACCCTGAGCTGATCCTGGCTGCTGCAGAATCCGCTGAGATTGCTGATGCTTAAATTATGTTGTAGGTGAGAAATTGGAATAATGGTTGCTGATGGATGGTTGATATTATCATGCGGTTGTTGTTGATAATGTTGGTCTATTTCTGTTTGTTTTTCTCTCATGGAACTCAGTAGCATATGAATCATCTAGACCTTGTTGTTCATGTTATCTTCATGGCTAGAATATGATGATCACTCGCAGTTTCTCTGCCTTTTTACCTTGGGTAGTTATGAAATCTCTAGTTTACTGCATAATTGTCATATAATAGAACATCAAATTATCAATTTTATTCATAACGACTGGTACATACTCTTAACTTGAAATTCACTAAGTATTCAAACTTCACCTTCTATGATGTAAGCTAGATGCCTAATGCCCCGAAGAATGTCCAACTGGTTAATAAATTTGAGACGTATATATAGAGGGAGTAAGTAAAAAGAAAGATATCATTTATTATAAACTTATAATACTAATTGGAAAAAAAAAAGTTATTTCTTATAATATAATTTATTATCGATGCACTAACAAAATTACGCACTAATGACATGTTAGTCTGAGTGAAAAGAGTTTGGTTTTCTTTAAACAATAAATCGAGTTCGAATTTTGTGAATGAAGAAACAGGTGTTGGGAGAGCTATTTCTAATGGGATTTAACTCGGCCCTAACTCAGCTCGATTCAAGATTATTGGTTAAAATGTGGTCTTCGGGAGTTTAATAAAAAAAAAAAAAAATTACGCAAGAAAAATTGCTTGGGTTGGGAGAGAGAGAACGACACCGTTGGAAGTAACAGCAGTCTAAAAACAGAAGTCATCCTCCTCCCTTCCCCTTTCCGAGGAAGCCGCAAAAAACTAGAGGAATGGGATTTAATTTCGATTCAATCTCCCATTTTCTCATCCTTTCTTATAACCATTTCTTCTCCTTCTTGCTTTGAGCTTTCCACAGAGCTCAATCGCCGCGTTGTCGCGCGCGGCACCACTTCCCCTCTTTCCCTTCCCAAACATACAAACAAAGAAAAATATTAGCTAATCCATCTAGGCCATGAAGGTTTGTTGGATCATAGTAATATACCTAGCTTTGTTTCTCGTTTCTTCAAACCTCCACCTTTGTTCCGCCCAAGACTATGAGGATGAAACTCCGGCAGCCCCACCACCGGGGCAGGATAACTGTAACGGAATATTCCTAAGCTACGCCTTCACTTCTCGGAGTAAAGAATACCCCCATCTGAAAAACATAACAGCGCAGGCCTGGGCGTTCAGCTCCATTGCCACCATTGTTAATGTCGGTACGGACGAGCTTAAGGGATGGAAGATGTACGTGGGGTTCCAACACAGGGAGGTTTTGGTATCGGCGACGAACGCAATGCTGGTCGACGGGTATGATTTTCCTGCTCCGGTTGGGAATGGGACCACCTTGGCCGGGTACCCCATGACGGATTTGAAGACGTCAATTGATACGGCGGGGGATTGGAACCAGATTGCGGTGCAGGTGCAGTTCACCGGAACCATGTTTGGGATGAAGGAGAAGGATATTCCGATGCCGAAGACGATTAGTCTTGTAAATGATGGTTATGTCTGCCCTAAACCTACCAAGTATCGTAAGTTTCTTCTTCTTCTTTCTTCGGTTAATTAATTATTAACCTATACTTAATGCATATATAATCTTTTAAGATTTGATCAATTCCATCCAAAACCTTCTAATTCTTGCAAGAAGGTTAAATTTGTCGTGAAGAATTTGTATCCTTTAGCTGTTAGAGTACAACTATATATTAACTGTTTATTCATATGAATGATTCGAGTAGTTAAATGATAATCTTCTTCTAATAAAAATAAAAAATTTTGGCTTTAAATAATATAATATACAGATATCTTAAGTTTAAAAATGAAAGACTAAAAAAATATATCTTATTATGCAACCTAAAATTAAATTAAAAAAAAATAATAAAATGAGGCTACCAGTGTACTTAATAATATTCATTTCAATTTCAAGTAAAATGACTATTGTTCATTATTTGTTTGATTTTTACAGCAACTTACATGCATGTGTGCTGCAAAAAGAACCCTAAATTCAAACCAAAGCCTATAAAGGGGAAGTACTTGCCACGGCAGTATGGTGATCTGAATTTCGTCTATGACGTCCTCACAGCCTACGAAGGCAGCTACCTTGCTCAGGTCACCATGGACAACCACAACCCCCTCGGCCGTCTCGACCATTGGAACCTCACCTGGGAATGGATGAGAGGAGAGTTCATCCACTCCATGCGAGGAGCTTACACCCACAGGATTGATTACTCCGATTGTATCTACGGCAACGCGGCAAAAGTTCTCAAAGGCTTCGATTTTTCCCAGGTTATGAACTGTCAGAAGAAACCAGTGATTACCGACTTACCGCCGACTAGAGCCAACGACAGTGACGTAGGAAAGCTACCGTACTGTTGCAAAAATGGAACGCTGTTGCCTGCATTGATGGATGAGAGCAAATCCAGGAGTATTTTCCAGTTGAGGGTGTACAAGCTTCCACCGGACACGGACCAGACGGTTCTATACCCGCCACAGAGATGGAACATTACGGGGGTTTTGAATCCTCACTATAGTTGTGGGGCTCCGACCAGAGTAGATCCGACTGAGTTCCCGGACACGTCTGGCCTTCAGGCAACAAAGAGTGCCATCGCCAGTTGGCAGGTTGTTTGCAACATTACACGGCCGACCAAGGTGGACAAACCCCGGTGCTGCGTCTCCTTCTCGTCATACTACAACTCCTCTGTTATCCCTTGCAATACCTGCGCATGCGGCTGCGACAATATTGATACCGAAACATGCAACCCCGACGGAAAGGCAATGCTTCTTCCGCCAGAGGCCCTCTTAGTCCCCTTCGTCAACAGAACCGCCAAAGCCAAAGCTTGGGCCAGTCTCAAGCACCGCCCCATCCCAAAACGCCTCCCCTGCCCAGATAACTGCGGCGTCAGCATACATTGGCACGTCGAAACCGATTACAGAACAGGGTGGACGGCAAAAATCACACTCATGAATTGGGAAGATTACCAGTTTGAGGATTGGTTCACCGCCGTTACCATGGACAAGGCGTTCGCCGGTTACGAAAAGGTTTACTCCTTCAACGGAACGAAATTGGAAAGCATCAAGAACACTTTGTTTTTCCAGGGACTTAAGGGTCTGAATTACTTGGTCGAAATGCAAAACGGAACTAAGCCGTCTGACCCCAGAATCCCTGGAAAGCAGCAGTCCGTCATCTCCTTTACTAAGAAAAAAACGCCCGGTATAAAGATCGGGAAAGGAGATGGTTTTCCTACCAGGGTGTTCTTCAATGGAGAAGAATGTGCACTTCCTAACGAAATTCCTCAGAGTTCAGGCGACAGATCTCGCATGAATCTTTGGCCTGTTATATTGGTGACGCTGCTGACATTCTTGATGATTACAGATCACTTAATTTCTTTTTCAAATTTTTAGAAACTTTCTGTAAGTATTAAAAACTACTCTGGCAGTTCTTCTATGTATGTAATTTTTTTTCTTCTGGGGGAGGTTAAGTACTTCTTATGTATTTGTGTATTTTAGTATCTATATGGTTGAAGGGAAGTCGTACTCATTCTAACACTAAATTAGAAAAATTACGAGAAATTACTTTCTCATAATCTTTGTAGATTAAGCACTATTGAACCATAAGATAGGAGATTAAACTCTCTGATCAACCTGGGCAAAAGATTTTTCGTCTAATGTTAACCTAATCATGGACTCAATTATGAAGATACTTGGTCAATGAGGTTTCTTGTATGTGAAATTAACAAGACGGTGGTGGAAACTAATCACCATAATTATATCTGCAATGCTATAGTTGCAATGTTATAGTTACAATATTACATAAGATTATAAGTTTCCAAGCTAACGTAACATTAAATAAGTATAAAAGATACATTTAACAAATGAATGCATATATAAAAGAACCAATTATATAACATATTATATTATAAACTTACAATAACACATAACATTGTAACTGTAATATTTTCGATATTGAAATAATGAAGATCAGAAAGTTGATACATATAATTTGTACAATTTGAAAACCATGTTATTTCTGTGTTCCATTGAGAAAACCAATGTTATTCCAGGTGTTTCATTGAGTGATTTGAAAAACACGTATGGTTTAATACATTACGGGTTCTGTATAAGAGTTTATTGGGGCTGTGTTGAAAACAAGTATTTAGGAACGGATTTTAGTCACATTATACATACAACAATCCTTCACTCGGAAGTTGGGAACATTAGATGGTCCAGGCAATTGCACATCTCTGTGATCTCTGAACCAAGAATTTTGAACAAGTATATCATCATCTTCCACTGGATCAAATCACCTTATTGCAAAACCGTCCTCAGAACAAAAAAGTTGATGCAATTTATCTACCACTATGGCTTCTTGGCCTGCAGTAACAGCATCGAAGAATGACTTGATTAGTTTGCCATGACATGAATTGATCATCTAGAAAATTACCATGCAGTAGGGGAAGAAAAAGAAAAATAAAAAAACAGAGGATGCTTAGCACTTGCAGAGATTAGGTTTGAACCCCCAGCAACAATTCCCAGAATCAGGGGTTAAAACAAGTTAATGGCTGTAATCCCAGAAAATTTATAAATAATTAGGAATAGTTAATGGCTTACACCCAAAACATTCATAAACAAACACATACATACTGCCTTTACCTCCTAGCATTTCTGGATGCACCTATTTGAAACCATCAATAAAACACTCAAGCAAACTTGTTATAGCTACGTTGTTAACAATATATCTGATCATTCCTAACATTTTCCTCATGGATTTAAAACATCTAATGGCTTCATGTCTCTCTACTGCCTAAATTGATATTGCTACTTTCTTGGCCTCTTATTTTTACTTTAATTGAAAAAGAGAATTTCAATGGAAAATCAAGAATAGAGCAAGAAAAGGAAAACGATGCCTTTTTCAAATACTTCTTGTGAAGTTTCATTGCGCCACTGCAAGCTTTTTTGGCATCCAAATTTCCAGTCATGTCATTCAATATCTGAAAATAAAACAAAAGAAACATATAAGAAAGAAGGGAGAGGATCAGGAAAACAGGAAGAAAAACTTAAGAGCAATATAAACAATTAGAAGATCTAGTAGAGGCCAACAAAATGAAGGGTATGATTCTGAAAACCAAGCAAATGAGGCTTCCTCCAGCATCAAAAAGCCAAAACATCCATAAACTAAAACGGCTTTAGTAATTAACAGTATCATATTGCAAACCAATCTTAGCCATTAGAAGAGAGGTGGGCCTAAGGTTTCTGTCAAATCTATGATTATTACAGCATCTTTTCCAATCAAAGTCATTTCAGATTCAAGGTGAATTTTGCTTGCACTTGCATGTTATGTATAATAAATTGACAAATTGGCCTTCCCTTAAAAACCCTAAAGTGCAAATACATTGGTTTTCAGCTCACCTTAACAACATCATCCAGGCCCCGAGCTTCGTGTTGTAGCTTTGAGCTCTTATCTTTCAAGACACTGGCAACAAGAAAAACAGAGATGGGAAGTGGGGCATCATTTTTCCCATTTCTCATATTTTCTCTCTCAAACTTCCCATACTGACGTATTGATTTTGCTCTTCCTTTAGATCCTTCAGCTTTGTTATTAGCTGAATCAGCTTCTTCATACAAAG